GCCGGGGGAGAGTTGCCTGATCGGGGACTCTGCCTGCGCCCCGGTTCCTCCGACCTGGACGCGGCGATCGCGGGAACGCCGACAGGAGGCCCTGAGCGCGCAGGGCCTGGGAGGCAGCCGGGTCTGGTGCCCACATTGGGGTTTTCTCTGGGATTGCATTGCGTTTTAAAACATATGTTTTTATTGATGTCAGAGAGGAAGGGAGAGGGAGAGAGAAACATCAATGATGAGAGAGAATCATGGACCGGCCGCCTTCTGCGCGCCCCCTACTGGCGATGGAGCCCGCAACCCGGCATGTGCCCTGACGGGGAATCGAACCCTGACCCCCTGGTCTGTCTCTTTTAAGGACACGTGTGACTGGACTTAGGGCCCAGCTCTGTAAACCAGGATGATCGCATCTTGAGGTCCTTAAGTTAATTACACCCGCGAGGTCCCGTCCTCCTGCTCCTGGGGTTGGGAAGTGTGGGGAGCAGGGTCCCCCTTCAACCCTGGACAGACCCCAAGGCCAGTTCAACTCCTGCTGGTCAGCGGGTGTGAAGCCCAAACAATAGTTACTCTTGTCTCTTTTATGTGAAATATATTTTCATATTGATTTTATTGTTCTCATGGGTCTTGATTATTGCAACGAGTGCTTTTAGGAGTGTTTGTACTGATCTTGGGCGGGGGGGAACGGGGTGCTATTTCATTCTCTTCATGCTTCTAAATATATTCCTCCTGGTTATTTTTTTTTAAAATATATTTTTTTATTGATTTTCTTTAAGAGAGAGGAAGGGAGGAGAGGGGGATAGAAACATCGATGATGAGAGAGAATCATGGATCTGGCTGCCTCTTGCACGCCCCCTACTGGGGATGGAACCCGCCACCAGGGCATGTGCCCTGACCGGGAATGGAACCGTGACTCTCAACCATGAGCCACACCAGCCGGGCATATTTGATTCCGTAATGATTGTAGGCCACGAAGCATTCATTCATTCATTCATTCGTTCATTCATCATTCATTCATTCATTCATTCCAGTCATCATCCAATAATCAGATTCTGAGAATAGTGAGAGCTGCCAGGCATTGAACTTCTTACCTGCGGGTCCCTGTGTAAGTGCTTTGCAAGCATCCTCTCATTTAACCTGCAGCCCCTAGGGGGCGCTGTATGCCTCCAGTTTTTCAAATGAGCCAGTGACTTACCCAGAGCCACACATCAGGTTTTATGCCAATCATTAGGGTTAAAAACACATTTGAGCAGGGACATGACCGTCTAGAGCTGGAAACAGGTACAAAAAGCCTGGCAAGTGTCTTATCGAATGTTGTTTTCCCAACAGTGGCCTACTCATGGGATGGGGTGCAAATGCCCTAGCTGGTGTGGCTCAGTGGGTAGAGCGTCGGTCTGCGGACTGAAGGGTCCCACGTTGGAATCCGGTCAAGGGCACATGCCTGGGGTGGGGGCTCGATCCCCAGGGCATGCAGGAGGCAGCCGATCCATGACTCTCTCTCATCATTGATGTTTCTATCTTTCTCTCCCTTCTTTTGTGAAAGTATCCTATATAATAAAAGGCTAGTATGCACATTGTCCCCTTGACCGGGAGTTCGACTGGGAGTTCGACCAGGGGGTGGGGCGGCCGGCCAACAGCCTGCGGCCCCTCCCCACAGCTGGCCTAGCTCTATTGTCCTAATTGGGGCAGGCCGGCTGGACCCCACCCGTGCACGAATTCATGCACTGAGCCTCTAGTATTTTTTTAAAAATATATTTTATTGATTTTTTACAGAGAGGAAGGGAGAGGGATAGAGAGAAACATCGATCAGCTGCCTCCTGCACATTCCCCACTGGGGATGTGCCCGCAACCAAGGTACATGCGCTTGACTGGAATCGAATCTGGGACTCTTCAGTCCGCAGGTCGATGCTCTATCCACGAGCCAAACCGGTCAGGGCACCTCTAGTATTTTTTTTAAAAGAAAGAAAATAAAAGGAAATGGCTATAGTATCCAAGTTCTTGCTTGGTTTCTTTAATGAGCAAATTACAGGCAGTTGCACACATCATCATAAGTATATGACTCAAAGCCATTTTAATATTAACCTATTAAGTGAGCTCTTAAGGTTTCTGAAGCCTTATACTTATGAAGGAAATTAGCATTTTACTAGGTTCTGCTGAAGCATTCTTCAGAAAGCGTCAGGATTAGGGTGACGTCAGCTGCTTTGTGTGTATTTATCGGTATCTCCAGGCTCCTGTGCTCACGCCCTTGTTTGGAATCCCCCTCCATTGGGGGAAGGCTGCTTTGTTCTCTTGAGGTGGCCATTGCTGTCCATTGCTGATATTTAAAAAGAAATATGTTGTAGAAGGTTTATTAAGTCTTCCTTTTGTTCTTGTATAACTTTTTTATCATCTTGATTATTTTTGCCCAGTTCTTTTTTATTCTTTATATACATATGTGTATATCTATATATAAAAGCCTAAGTGACCGTCTGGCCATCTGACCGGTAGCTGTGACGCACACTGACCACCAGGGGGCAGACGCTTGACGCAGGAGCTGCCGAGCTGCAGTGACGTGGCAGCTGCGGTTCTCGGGTGACGCACCCAGAACCAGAGAGGAGGGAGCCCAATTTCGGGGTGCGTCACAAGAGAACTGCCTTCTCGCAATCCGGGACCCCTCGGGGGATGTCGGAGACCCGGTTTTGGCCCGATCCCTGCAGGCCAGGCCAAGGGACCCCAATGATGCACAAATCCGTGTACCAGGCCTCTAGTATATATATAATCAACCTAATTTAAGCATGCTAGTCCAATCTAGCTAATATCACATACTAATTTAATCAGCCCGATACAAGCTGGCTTATCGCATAAATTGATTTAAGCAAACTAATCCAATAAGGCTGATCCCATCCACTGATTCAATCAACCAGATCTATCTAGCTAATCTAACTG